CAACTGTACCAGATTGCTACTCCATGATCCTATATGCTATAGTCAGGGTGATGGAAATCAGCTATACTCAAAATGGATTGTGCATATGGTGGATGCTCAAAGCAAGAATTCCTATTATAGATAGGGTTGGTATGACTCCTTTCTCAGTGAAGCACATAGGACAAATGTAGTTGCATTGATCTGGATTCAAACTCTACCTGTCATTATTTGAGTTGAGGCAAGTCACAATTTTTTTCTAGTCATCAGCTTCCCTAAAAGCCAAAGAGATAGTATGTTTACTGCTTAAGGAAATGAACTGTAAGCACTTAGCATAGTGCTGAGCACATAGCCAACATTCTACAAGCCTGTTAACAGATTCTTTTCATCTCTTCCACCCAGCATCGTGATGACCACCTGCTCCACCTTCGTTGCCCTGGGAATGATGCCTCTCCTCTTGTATATCTACTCCAAAGGGATCTATGATGGCAGCCTGGAGGATAAGGTGCCCTATAAGGGCATTATAATATCATTGATCATGGTTCTCATCCCTTGCACCATAGGAATCATCCTCAAATCTAAACGGCCAAAATATGTGCCTTATATTATGAAGGTAAGAATGTGGGACAACATGGGAAAGAAACACCACCACACAAAGCTACTTATGGAGTAAAGCAGTTTATTTCGGGTCACAGTTCTATAGACTCAAGTCCAAGATCAGGTAGCCCCCTGTCCTCCAGTGAGGGTGGCTTGTCATGGCATGAGTAATGTTGGAGCAAGTGCTTACATTTTGTGACAGGAAGAATGTGGGTGTGGAAAAGAGAACACACATAAACATGGACCAGGTTTCCAGTCCCCTTCAAGAGTATATTCACAATGACCTAAGGATCTCCCATAATGCCCTACTTCCTATATGTCCACAGCACTTCCCATTTGTACCATCCTAGGGACCAAGCTTTTCACTCATGGACTTTTGAGAGAGACTCATGCAAACAAGGAGTTTCCTTATAAAAAAGTAGGGTAAGGGGGTGGAACCAGGTGTAGTGGCACACACAGGTTATCCCAGTGGCTTGGGAGGCTGAGGCAAGAAGATTGCAAGTTCAAGGGCAGCCTGAGCAACTTAGCAAGACTATCTCAAAAAATTAAAAAGGGTGGGGATGCCGCTCTGTCATTAGTACCCCTGGGTTCAATCCCTGGTACACAAAAAAAGGGTGGGGAAAAAAAAAAAAGCTTGGTACTCTTATTTCATGGGATCATAAGGTACCCACGAATACTTTTAAAGTTAGAAGACCAAAAAAATAAAAAAGTATAAGGCATAACCATTATTTTAATAAATTTACATTATGCTCCTCTTACCTACTAGATGCTAGTTTATGCTGCATATTCTGAAGACAGTCTTCATAATTTGATATTTGTACAAAGTAACACAAGAGAAATAAGATTCAACAAATGGGGACTGGGGTTGTGGCTCAGACGTAGAGTGCTTGCCTAGCATGCGTGAGGCACTGGGTTTGATCCTCAACACCACATTAAAAATAAAATATATTGTGTTCACCTACAACTGAAAAATGTTAAAAAAAAAATTCAGGGCTGGGAATGTGGCTCAGGCGGTAGCGCGCTCGTCTGGCATGTGTGCGGCCCGGGTTCAATCCTCAGCACCACATACCAACAAAGATGTTCTGTCCACCGAGAACTAAGAAATAAATATTAAAAAAAAAAATTCTCTCGCCCTCCTCTCTCTTTAAAAAAAAAAAATTCAGGCTAGGGATGTGGCTCGGCGGTAGAGCGCTCACCTAGCATGTGCGAGACCCTAGGTTCAATCCTCAGCACCACATAAAAATAAATAAAATAAGGGTATTGTTTCAAACTACAACTAAAAATTAAAATTCAACAACTGCATAAGAACAGGTACTGGAAGAATGTAAGGAGATATGATTTTTCAGAGCTGGAGTGCTCATAGGGGCATCTTGGAGGAGAGGGGCTTTAGCCAGACCATAAAGAAAAGTAGGATTTAGCTAAGATTGGGAGAACTCTGAGTTCAGAAGGCACTAAGGCCAAGTTGACTGACTTAAGAAGCCAAAGGGAGTCTGGGGAAAGGTGGTGGTGTATGTACTCCCAGCATTTCAGGAATACGATAGATGAAGAGTGAAGTGAGTAAAATCTCAGAGAATTTATAGCAGTACTATGGTCACAGATCACATGTCACTTGCCCTCAGAGGAATCTTGGAAGTAATAGCTATGGGCCCTCCACCCACTTTATAGGAGACCTGAAAAGTCCTCAAAACTATAGCCATTCATTGAAAACCTGCCATCCAGAGCTGGGTCAAAAAAGAGATTTGTAGCTGAGTTTTATTAGAGTTATTAGTCAAGTTTCTGTTTTCCAAGTATTCAAACTATTGTTAAGTCTAAAAATAAACAGATCTTTCATATTCCCCCTTTCCACTTCAAATATCAATATTCTAGTAAAAAATGCTTTTTCATTCCTAATCCCCATCCTTATCTCCCACAATGACTTTTTTTCTTGTCCTCTGTCCAGGGAGGGATGATAATCTCTCTCTTATTCAGCGTGGCCGTCACAGCCCTCTCCATCATCAACATAGGGAAGAGCATCATGTATGCCATGACACCACACCTGCTGACAGTCTCCTCCCTGATGCCTTTTATTGGCTTCCTGCTAGGCTACCTTCTCTCTGCTCTCTTCTGTCTCAAAGCACGGTAGGTATTAGAGCCCCTGGGTTCAATCCCTGGTACAACAAGAAAGGATCTGGGCAAAGAATTTTCCTAGCTGTATGTTCAAAGTCACCAAAGAGCCCTGGACTGAGAAACAAGTATCAAACAGGAGAATTACTGAATGGGTTAGAGGCCTAAGTTAAACCTAGACACCAAATGCATCTATCATCCAAACAGCAACACCTAATGGCTAAGTGCCCCTCCCTCCAGAGTCTAGATTCCACCTCTTACTGAATTCCCTAGAGAGTAATGGCCTGGGGTAACTGGGAACAAGGACACCCAATTCAACATATTATAGTGACTTTCCCTCATTTTAGCAGCCCTGGGAACAAATGCTTATGAAGGAATGTAATCATTACTAGCGCACATACCCCAACACACACACACAAAAAAAAATTATAGAATTTTAAAAATACCCAGGATCTGGGGTTGTGGCTCATCAGTAGAGCGCTCACCTAGCACATGCAAGGGCTGGGTTTCTCAGCACCACATAAAATAAAAGTATTGTGTCCAACTACAACTAAAAAGTAAATATTAAAAAATAATTATCCATTTAAAAAGCTATACTAACAAATCACTATAGATGCAACACAAACCAAAAGGCCATCAATGACCAGTGACATCAATTTTCTCAAAGCAGATCACAGTAAATGGCCACATACTAAAATGTCATTACAGTAGCCTCCCTCATTTAAAAAAAAAAAATGTGATTTTGTGACTATTTTAAAACACTTGGAATTCAATAAATTTGAAAATGTGTATTCATTATATGTAAACATCCATTCTCTAATCTGTAAAATGGAAAGCAAAAGTGGAAAAATATCTTCCTGAGTTAGGGTATTTGTTTTAAAGATGCTAAGCCACAAACTTGGGAACCAGGCAAAACTCGAGGCATTTCAGACAAACTTTTCCATGACCTATTGAAAATGTAACTGACCTAGACTTGACCTAACAAGCCAGTGAATGATACCAACTCAAAACTTCCTCTCATCCCTCACCAGCAAGGTGATTTCTCCAAACTTAAATTTGGCAATCCTGCAAAAGCAGTGTGTACTTAAAAACTTAAATGAATCTTTTAGGCACCATCCTCCACAGATTGGGTCAGACACATCAATTTGATTTTTCTTAAATCAATATGCACCCTACATATCTGATTTCCATCAGATTGCAAAGGGTCCCAGTTATCTGGGAGTGGGAGAGAACAACCAAAGTCATGCCCTCATGTCCCTTATGAGTGAATACAGTTGTTTTGTCGTCTTCTCCTTCATAGGTGCAGACGCACCATCAGCATGGAGACAGGATTCCAAAACATTCAACTCTGTTCCACCATCCTCAACGTGACCTTTCCCCCTGAAGTCATTGGGCCACTTTTCTTCTTTCCTCTCCTCTACATGATTTTCCAGCTTGGTGAAGGGCTTCTCTTCATTATTGTCTTCCGGTGCTACAAAAAATTCAACCCTCCCAAGGGTGAGTATCAACCCCCATCAAGTTCTGCTCCTATATAGGAACAGAGACTTCAACACATTCCTAGCAGCAACTTTTAGGAGTCAACGTAGCTTCCATTAACTGCATGCTCTGCCTGCCTTCTAGCTGGAAAAACCGAACTGGATGTGCAACATGGGCTGCTTTATCTAAGCAGGGAGACCATTTCTCAGTATGAGAAAATAGGACAGAACTGCTTTGGACAGAGATAGTTGTAAGACATAATTTGGTGAAAGGTCTATTTCAAGAATTCAAGAAGTTTCAGTATTTTTTTGGATTGAGTTTTCAAGGTCCTGGGACCAGACCAGAACCCTTTGTACCACTGGTACCCCCATGTGGGAAAAACACATTAAAGCAATGCAGCCCTTATATCCAGAACCCATCAACTCTGGTTACACAGTAAGTGCAAGCCTGTTAAACAGTAACCATCACAATAAACTTAATACAATTTATACTTTAATCTGATTACTACTGGATAACATGGCACCTGTTCAGAGCACTACCTCCAAAAAATATAAAATCCCAGAATCTCCTCCTGGTGTGCATTTTAATCCTAAATGCCACCCCACTCCCATGCTAGGTTCTAATTACATGTTAAGCAAACTTCTAAAACTGAACTAGAATCCTGGCCTACAAATATATCTTTAAAGCAGAAAACTCAACCTTGCTTTATAACACATCTCATTTATTTTACCCTAAACATCACTATACTTTTTTTCCAATAACTTACCCAATTCATTCTCCTGCCTCATTTCTCTCATCAAAAATTTTTCTTGCCCTGGGGCTTGGTACCTGAGGAGAGTACTCAACTTTCCCTGGTAAAATTCATATTACATACTAGCAAATGCAGATTCTCTCCCTTTGCATTTAGCTTAAGATATAACCTTTGTTTTTCAAACAGCCAAAAAGGGGGAGGGGGGCTGACCATACCACAGAACCATTTATCAGCATTGGTCCAAAACTACTGTGGAGTTGTAGAAAAACAATCTTAAGTTTGACAACTCAAGATTTTTTTGCCCAATAAGATAACCACCTTGCCAAAAAATGTATGGGAGAGCCAGGCGTGGTGGTACACGCCTGTAATCTCAGCAGCTTCAGGCTGAGGCAAGAGGATCGAGTTCAAAGCCAGAGAGCCACGACACAATTGAGACCCTGTCAAATACAAAATAGGTATGGGTATGTGGCTCAGCGGTCAAGTGCCCCAGAATTCAATTCCAAGTACAAAAAAGAAAAAAAAAAAACAACTATATGAATGAAATTAAGACTTAAAAGTTTTAGTTTAAGAAAGGACTAGGATGCCCTTAAAGGGGCAATAGTCTATATATTCAAGAAACTTCCTCACAGTATACCTTGGGAAGATGACCCCAATGGTACTTTCTCTTTGGAGCTAATAGCCTCAAGCAGCTCTTCTCAGAGTAAATAATCTGTCACAAAAAGACTTGTGTTATTGAACCCTATACCCTTAATAGTAATGAGACAAAAAGACCTGGTCAGATTTCCCTAAAGCTCTTCTTCCCTGCCCTGTTACTTCCAGAATGCAAACCATTCTTACTGACATAAACCCACCTCCCCTGTTATTTTATGTTCAAAGTTGCTAGAGGTGAAGAAATGAAATCTTGATATTCCATCACTAGTAAGTACCTACCCACCATTAGGAAGACTGAGGAAAAAGCTAATCTTTCCTCTGAGTTTGAATCATGAGAGGTCAAATTAAAAATGATTATAAACAAACTCTAGCAGTACTAAGTATTATTTTCCAAAATGAACGTTTATTATTATTGTACTCCCAACCATCCCTTAAATCCTTTCTGATTTTACAGAGAAAACAAAACTGATCTATACAGCTGCAACAAAAGAAGCAATTTCAAGAGCTCAGGAAAATGGCGTCCACAAAGGGGAAGAGTGCACCCCTTGCACAGCCTAGCCCTTCCCTTGGCAGCCTGGATTCTGGGCAGATGGCAACTGAGAAAGCCAGTGTGCTCAACTACAGAGCAGCAAAAACAAAACAAACACCAGGCTTGTCTTTCTCTAGCACTTCCAAACCACCTCATTTCTTGCAAAGAGAAGATTCACTTCAGCAGAATCAAGGTTTGGTCTGCAGGTCAAAAGAAGACTCGCCTATCCCCTGCTTGTACTGGTTAAAAAAATGACTTATTCAGTGACTATAAACTCTATGAAGGCAAAAAATAATCTGCCTTTTGCCCTAGACCTCTGAACACAGTGCCTAATTAGCATATAAAGCTCCATTTCTGGGCTAATCAATAAATGGCCTGTTTTACCCATTAATCAAATACTCAAATCTCTAAGTTTTTTGACCCAAAAGGAAATAAATGTTCAAGAACACTGCAGAATTTGTACACTACAAAAGTTCTAATATAAAAGATCATATTTCCTTTCTCTTTGATATCTTTTGGATTATATTTCGTGAGAATAGTCGTGACACCAAGCATGGAAAAGTGGACATAAAATGCAAAACAAAGCAAACTCAAAATAGCATTCACACAATGAAATGTGGATATTTGAAAGGTATCTGAAGACCACCAGTAGTGAGAAGCTGTAACAAGGTGAAGTCAAAAAACAGAGAACTTCATTAACAATCTATTCCATCAGCTCATGACACATCAGTGGAATAAAGTAACCCCCCACATTGGAGGTACACTGTGAACTACTGTCAGAATGGTTTCCCAATTGGAAGAAAAATTTGAAATACTATAATTTTTTTCTAAAGAAACTTAAGCTTTTGGGGTATTAAATGAAAACAAGCATTGAGATTAATAACCAATAGGCTGGAGCTCAGTGGTAGAGTGCTCACCTATATCTAGCTGATTACACCTCCTAGGACACACAGCTACCCAGAACAAAGAAATGAAACAAGAAGTTATGTTTGGCTTTTAAGAAAGATTAAGGCTGGACTTAAAATGTATTATCCTCAAATTAGTCTTCTAGAATTAGATCAGAAATATAAGCACAAAAAACTAAGGTAATGTCATGCCTCACATAAAGGCCGATTCTGAAACTGTTTTTAGCATTACACTCACTCTGCTTATGACTTCTCAAGTCATAAAACTTAAAATTCAAATTCCCTTTTTGGAACATAAATAACCCAGTTACCTGCCATTTTAAAATCAGATTTTTTTTTTAAAGAGAGAATTTTTTTTAATATATTTTTTTTTTAGTTCTCGGCAGACACATCATCTTTGTATGTGGTGCCGAGGATCTAACCCAGGCCGTATGCATGCCAGGTGAGCCAGCTACCACTTGAGCCACATCCCCAGCCCTTAAAATCAGATTTTATTCCCTCAAACACTTGTAAAGATTAAAAGTAGCAAGCCTCTACTTTCTAATTCTGTGTGGGAGGGGACACATGTAATATCCAATTACATTTAACCATAATGCCTAAGTACATCTTAAGAATCCAAGGGAGGAAATGATATTATTTCAGGCTGCAATTGTATACAGAAATCAAAATTTTAGCTTCCACTCCAGTTCCCTCAAATGTTTTCCCAGACTCAGCCTACTAAAAAAATGAACATTATTTTCATCTCAATGTTCCAGAAGAGAAGGGTACCAAACTTCACACCTATTCCCCAAAGTAGATTCCTATTCCTGACTTCCAACATCTGGGGATTCCAAAGTCTGATTTTTTTCTCTGCTACTTCTAATTCCACCTTCCCAAAAGAAAAGGGCAGGAAATAACAGGAAATTCTGAAGTCCCTGAAACCACACTTCCTAGATTTTAATACTTCACCACCAGTTACTTGGATCAGTTGACAAAGTTCCTGAATTTCTTGATAGAGTGGTATTATAATCTTAAGATTCAGTGAATATATTGGTAAGCACTTACTACTGTAGTTAAGTAGATGTTTTTGTGTCCCCAAATATGTGTCTAGCCTAGCACCCAAAAATCTTAAAACTAAATCTCTGACCATACTAGAATAAAGCTCATTTCCTATACTTAGGAGTCTGAGGGTTCAGGTAAAGTGCCCAACATTTTAAAATAGAAGGGATGTTGGCCTTTAAGCAGTTTTCACTATTATTTCCCCCTACACTTGTACAGCAATGTTTCAGAACTAAATGTTCATGTTGACTGATAAGCTTTCTATCATCTCTGACCATCTCTATGCACTAAAACCTTTAAGGCAGGCATTAGATTTTATAATTTGCTCCCCAAATACATTATCCTCGTAAAACTGTTAGCATAAGAAACAAATGCAAATAGTCAAGCAACAAAGGAAAAGCATGAAGGAATACACACAAGATTAAATCACTTATTTAAATAACTAAATAATCACTTATTTAAATAGTTCATTGACTTCATGACTTTTTAAACTAGCCTGGAAATGTTTAAAAATACTATTTAAAAAACCCCATATTATACTACTCCAGGATTCTAAATGTATTATGTCTTAAAACATTTCACACAGAAAAGAGTGGAAAAAGTAAGTAATATATGACTTCTTCAGACAAACAAGACAAAACGTGTTTTATAATATTTTATTATCAATAACAAACAGCTGCTTTAATGTGTCTGTGTCCTGCAGCTGTTAATGGGGTGGATGGGAGGACACCCTTGACCCTAACAAGGAAAACTCAAATTAAGCCTTTATATACAAGCAAATTTAGAGCTCTTTTAAGTGTCCAAAGCTATTAATTAGTTTAATTGAGGCATTAAACTAATTCTGAATTAACATATTTGAATAACCAAGAACTAAAATGTTCAATTTTTCTAGTACAAAAAAATTAAATTTGCTTTAGTTATAAAAGAGCTCTGTCAATATACACAAACTATATATATACTTCAGACATTCACAAAAATGTGAGCAGAAGGCTTATCAAAAGACATTTAATACAATTAGTTTTCAACAACCCCTTGGTGGTCCACATCTACAAAGATATCCAGCCCAGCCCAACCCCCCTCCAAATCCCACCCCCACAGAAAAGCACATACTTACCAGAATTTTTAGCAAGTATGGTTTGGGAATTTGTGTTTTGTTTGTTTGTTTGTTTTAAAAAAAGGCCCCCAGGGCAAGTTATTTACAGTTTAATTGCCACTGTCAACTGATCTGGACCTGGACCGGGACCGGGACCTCTGGCGATCCACAGATGCTGGAGACTTAGATCTACTTGAAGAACCACGTTTCTGGCTCTTCTCAGGCACAGGAGACCTACTAACTGAACGAGACTTGCTCCTGCTCCGGCTCCTGCTTCTTGACCGGCTGTAAGACTTGCGACTACGGGAACGAGATCGGCTCCGTGACCTAGAGGAACTCCTGGTCCTTGATCGAGACCTGCTTCTTGACCTACTATGAAAAGTGCAAGAAAGGGGAAAGAAAGTGGGGAATGAGCCTTCATGACACACCCTAACAAACCCATTAAGTAAAACTTTATGACTTAAAAAATATTAAAGATACCTGTGCCTTTTGCTGCCTTCAATTAATTTGATTTTTCTCCCATTTATTTCCTTTCCAGAAAGTTTTTCAATAGCATTCTTTAAATCACCATAAGAGGCAAATTCAACCACCCTAAAATGAAGAAAAAAAATCTTAAAAACCCCCATAGCCGCATGCACTATATATAGCAACCTAGGTAAGTAGTAGTTACTCTGTTACACTTTGCTATTCCTATGTTAGGTCTTTTTTTTTTTTCCAATATTTACTTTTTAGTTGTAGTTGAAAAAAATATATTTATTCCAGGGCCTTGCATGTGCTTGGCATGCACTCTACTGCTAAGCCACAATCCCCGCCCCTAGGTCTAATTTCTGACAGACAATAGCGTAGCAAAGTTTTGGCACTGCTGATATTCTGAGCCAGAAAACTCTTTGCATGTTTCACAGCATGCCTGGCCTCTACAGTTTAGAGGTCTTTAGCACTCTCAACCAGTTGTGACAACCAAACCTGTCTCCAGAAATTCTCCCCTGGGGAGCAAAACTGCCCCAGATGGAGAACCATCCGAATAGAGCATGAACAAATTATATAAGTTCTCAAACATGTTCACAGTAAAATCTTTCAGGATATTTCAAAAGACTTTCACAAAATCTCTAGTACATACTCACCCTTCATTTAATTTAGGTCGATGTGCATCCGCAAAGGTTACTTCCCCAGCTTGTCTCATGAAATCTTTGAGATCCTTAACATAAGACAATTGTGTCAAGCAAAGAAAAGGAAAAGTGACACACAAACAACCACATGGTATAAAAACAAGACTACTGAAAGAGAAGTTGTTAGATAAAGTACAAACATGGCATATACCACACTTGTATTCTATCAGAATTCAAAAATTATGTCAGGGCACGAAATAAACAAATAGCATATTGCTTGTAAGCAAAATGCTAGAGGAAATTCAGATTTTTAACATTAAAGTAGTATTAGTCTATATTGAGCTCAGTACAAAAGGAAAAAAAACAAACAAGAAACAAAAACAAAAACAAAAAAGAAACAGTACATATTTTTAAAGTAAAGACTAAGTAGAAGTTTTATATTTAACAGAACATTTACAAGACACCAGTTATTTTGTGCCCCATATGTCATTAAAAAAGTTTACTTTACCTTTATTAATATTTCCCTAGGCTAGTCAAGCAGCAAACCATTAATCGGTCGGAGAAACCTTCATGACATATGCCCGACTGGCTCTTCGCCACCCACTTGAAGGATACTACCCAATCGATGGAAGCCTTTAATCGCACAGCCCTCCCTATTAGCAGACTACTGGCGATGCAGACATGTTCTACTCTTGTGCAGTTACCAAGGACCACTTTACTGCGATCAGGATTCCAACGACCACCTAATTTCGTATCTTTCAACTCTTTTCGACCAGGACCTCTTATTCGGAAGCGTTACAGGAAGACAGCTCTCAACTTAGGGATCAGATCACGTTATCAACGCTCTGGGATCGCTGCAACCTGGCACTTCAATAAGTGCACCGATTACGTCTAGACCGGCAAACACAGATCTAGAGGTGGCCAACTGATCACTGTAGGAGCTGACTGGCAAAGTCAACCAGGCCCAACCAAGAGTGACCAAGACAACGATTAGGATAACCCACAGGCACTCCTCGTCATAAGGCCAACGACACAGATAGGCTGGCAAATAAAGGGTTTAATATTTGGTTAAAATTGATTTTAAAAAACAAGAAAAAATATCCTCAAAACATTTACATTTGATCACATATTAAAATTTGAAATATCCCCCAGTTACTTTTAATTAAAATTTAAAATTACAAATTAAATCCATTAATTTAATTAAAGATAAAACTACTTTTAATAAAACATTAATAAAAATTAATTACCCATTAACTTTATTTTTTAAAAAAAGCCACATTAAAATAACTCAAAACTGTAATTCAACAAACCTGCCAGCTGACTCTTGAGGATAAATTCTCAACTATAAGTCGATTTTCTGTTCTTAC